TCATGTACTGTTGGTGGGAGTGCAGATTGGTGCAGCCACTGTGGAAAATAGTATGGAGTGTCTTTAAAAAAATTAAAAATGGAACTGTCTTATGACCCAGGGTATGTATCTGAAGAAATAAAAAACACTAATTCAAAACAATATATGCATCTTATGTTCATTGCAGTGTTATTTACAATAGCCAAGCTATTGAAGCAACCTAAATGTTCATCAATAGATGAGTGAATAAAAAAGTGGTGGCACACATATACAATGGAGTATTACTTGGCCATAAAAAGGAAGGAAATCTTACAATTTGTGACAGCGTGGATGGACCTAGAGGGTATGGCCAGTGAAATAAGCCTGTCAGAGAAAGACAAATACCACATAACTTCACTTATATGTGGAACCTAAAGAACAGTATAAACAAACAAAACAGAAACAAACTCATAGATACAGAGAACAGACTATAGTTGCCAGAGGGGTGGGGATTGGGGGACTGGGTATTAAAGATGAAGAGATTGAGAAGTACAGATTGATAGTTACAAAATAGTCATGGGCATGTAAAGTACAGTATAAGAAATATAATCAATACCCTATCCGGTTTGGCTCAATGGATAGAGCATTGGCCTGCGGACTGAAGGGTTCCAGGTTTGGTTCTGGTCAAGGGCACATGCAGGGGTTGCTGGCTCGATCTTCAGTAGGAGGTGTGCAGGAGGCAGCCAATCAATGATTCTCTCTCATCATTGATGTTTCAATCTCTCTCTCTTCTTTCCTCTCTGAAATCAATAAAAATATATTTTATGCCCTAACCAGTTTGGCTCAGTGGATAGAGCGTCGGCCTGTGGACTGAAAGGTCCCAGGTTCGATTCCGGTCAAGGGCATGTACCTTGGTTGCGGGCACATCCCCAGTAGGAAGTGTGCAGGAGGCAGCTGATCGGTGTTTCTCTCTCATCGATGTTTCTAACTCTCTATCCCTCTCCCTTCCTCTCTGTAAGAAATCAATAAAATATATTAAAAATATATATATATTTGAAATATGAAGAGTTTAAAAAATAAATATAATTAATAATATTGTAATAACTATGTATGATGTCAGATGGGTACTGAAAATATCAGGGGAAACACTTTGTAAAGTATATGATTGTCTAACCACCATGCTGTACACCTGAAACTAATACAAAATGATAGTGAATGTAAACTGTATTTGAAAAATAAATATTTAAAAACTATATTGTGATTTCTTTTCTCATTTTAAATTTTCACATTTGCATCTAATTTTGTATCCCTTTTCTTTTTAAAAAATATTTTTATTGAATTCAGAGAGGAAGAGGGAGAGAGAAACATCAATGATGAGAGAAAATCATTGATCAGCTGCCTCCTGCATGCCTCCTACTGGGGACTGAGCTCCAAATCCAGGCATGTACCCTGAACTGGAATTGAGCCACGACCTCCTGGTTCATAGGTTGATGCTCAACCACTGAGCCACTCAGACTAGGCTGTGTCCTTTTTCTTAACAGAGAACACCCCAAGTTGTATAAGTTTCAGGCCACACAAAGTCCAGATCTACTCCTGCTCATATCCAGTCCCTCAGCAAATGCTATTGTCTCTACTTCCACATATGTACAGAGACTGAGCACTTCTCACCATCTTCACTGCCACCATAATTTTCCACCTGTATTATTGCAATAGCCTGCTAATTTTTCTCCCTTCTTCCTGCCTTGCCCTCTTTCAGTTTAATCTCAATACAGCAGCCAAAGTGATCATTTTAAACTGAAGTCACATCAGGTCTCTCCTCTGCTTAAAACTAAAACTCTCCAATAATTTCCATCCTTATTCAGAGTAAAGTCCAAAGTCCTTTCTATGGCCTTCAGAGACCTACTTGATCTGTGCTCCTCTTTACCTCTCTGATCTTCTTTCTTTTTTAAAAAATATATTTTTATTAATTACAGAGAGGAAGGGAGAGGGAGAGAGAGATGGAAACATCAATGATGACAGAGAATCATTGATTGGCTGCTTGTGCACACCCGCTACTGGGGATGGAGTCCACAACCCCTGCATGTGCCCTGACCGGGAATCGAACTATGATCTCCTGGTTCAAAGGTTGAGGCCCAACCACTGAGTAACACTGGTCTGGCTGACCTTTTTTCTTACTTCGCTTCCCTGATTTATTACATTTCAGCAACACTTTTTTTCTGTGGTTCCTTGCACATGCCAAACCTATTTCTGCCTTGGGACTTTAGCCTGATTATTCCTCCTGCCTAGAACACTTTTCTTTCGGATATATGCATGACTCACTCCCTTATTTCTGCCTGGTCTCTGCTCATATGTCACTATCAGTGAGGCCTTCCTTGTATAAAATTACAACTTCCCCTATCACTCATAATCTCTCTTCTCTGCCTTATTTTTCTCTATCTGATTTGTCATCATCTGACATAATACAGAGTTGGAGGAAGTAGGTTTACAGTGGTTCATATGGAAATAATACAAATAAATAATACAATAATTGATAAATAATAATATAAAGAATAAACTCTTTTGCAACTCACAACTGTAAACCTACTTCTGCTTGCCCATGTACACCCTTCCCTGTTCATTTGTTTATTTTCCTTTTTTTGTTTTTGTTTTTGTTTTTTAAAAAAATATGGAACGCTCCACGAATTTTCGTGTCATCCTTGCACAGGGGCCATGCTAATCTTCTCTGTATTGTTCCAATTTTAGTATATGTGCTGCCGAAGCGAGCACCATTTGTTTATTTTCTTTCTCCCCCATTAGAAGTAATCTCCACAAGGAGAAGGATGTTGTTTTGTTCACAAATGTTCACACTAGACATGTGCTTGGCATATAGCAGGCATTCAATAAATATCTGTTGAATGAATATATTAATAATGGATTCTATATGCTAACTTAAGCAGTGGGAATAGAGAGTACTATCTCCTTTCTTCTTTTTGTTTTAAAAATTGTTTATTTTAAAAATTGTGCATACATAATAAATGCTCAAAATTGAAAAAAAGAAAAAAATTGTGCATAAACTATACATAGCATAAAATTTACCACTTAATCCATTTTTAAATGTAGAGTTTTTTTATTTGAATTTATTGGGGTGACATCCTATATAATAAAGAGCTAATATGCAAATGGTCATCACGCCCTCTCACCAGTCACGCTGTAACGGCTCAGACACTCAACACTGGGGAGAGAGGAATGGGGACCAGCCAGGCACAAATGAGCTCGCAGGGACAAACTGCTTGCCCCATGGTCCTGGGTGCCAGTGGCTGTGCCTGCACCTGAGGCCCAGGAGAGGGACAAGCCACCTGCCCCATGGTCGCTGGTGCCAGTAGCTGCACCTGTGCCTGCGGCCTGGCCTGGGAGAGGGACAAGCCGCATGCCCCACAGTCCCAGGCACCAGTGCCTGTGGTTGTGGCCTGGGAGAGGGACAAGCTGCCCGCCCAAGGTCCCCTTCGACTGTCGCTGGCCTGGGCGAAGCCAGCCCAGGACCTGGGTGCCTGCGGCCAGCCAGAGGGAGGGAATCCTGGGTCCCAGGTGCTGGATGAGGCAGAGGCAGTTAAAGGCGATCAGGCCAGCAGGGGCGAAGTTAGGGGTGATCAGGCAGGCAGGCAGGCAGGCAAGTGGTTAGGAACCAGTGATTGGATTCTGACAGGCAGTCAGACATCCCCTGAGGGGTCCCAGATTGAAGAGGGTGCAGGCCGGGCTGAGGGACAACCCCCCACCCCATTGCATGCCTCTAGTTAGTTAATAAAATTGTATAGGTTTCATGGGTACAATTCTATAATATATCATCTGTATATTGTATTGTGTGTTCACCAGCCCAAGTCAAGTCTCCTTCCATCACCATATATCCCCCCTTTTTAAGTGTGGAGTTGATTGGCATTAAGTACATTTGCATTGCTATCCAACTATCACTACCATCTATCCAGAACATTTTTCATGCTGCAAACTAAAACTCTGTATCTTCTTTCTTCCTTATATACTAGGTTAATGCCTAAATTTCTTACAATAAACATTTATTATTATGTTGAAAGGCCATTTCCATTTTGGGAGCAGACTAATCAGAAACTTACTAATGTACTGGTTAATAATGCAGATTTTTTTCAATAGATGGAGTTACTATGTTGATATATATGTGATTTGATATGTATACTATTTTCTTGTATTGCTCCTTCAGATTACCGCTTGTTCTGATTGATGGCACACACACTTTCTGAGCAGCACTTCAAAACATACGAAGTGGAAAATTGGGTCACTGAATGGTTTGCCTCAAAACAAGAAAAGTTCTTTTGGGACGGTATCCACAAATTACCTGAAAGATGGGGAAAATGTATAGCTAGCGATGGACATTACTTTTGATGTTTCTCTTGAAATTATCATGTTTTCTTTTATTACAAAATCCACATTATTATGGCTAATAAAGTGGATTAATTATCAACCAGTTAATGATGTGGATTAACTATTAATTGGTTAATAATGCAGATTAACTATCAACCTGTTAATAATGCAGATTAACTATTTTTTCAAAAGTTATGAGAAATTTTACTCAGCAAACAAGAGCTTACATTCCATTGTCAAAAAGTAATTTTAAAATAGTTACAAGATGACTCAAACAAATATAAAAAAAATGAACACACATCAACTGATACTCAATTCATTGATAGGGGAGATAGCAGAATGGTAAAGTTGGCCACAAGGGCATATGGGGACCTGGGTATTTATAGAAATTGGTAAAAGAAAATGTACAAAAATGCTAGGTTAAGTACACAACTGGTTAATGTTCCACAGGGCAGTGAAACCATAATCTTTGGGTTTGTCTTTTCTACCAGACACAAATCTACAAATCAACAGGTCCAGACTTTGTCAATAGTAAACAATGTGTCAAACAAAAGGTACTTTTCCTTGGATAATTTTATGATCCTTGGTGGCCTTTTAAATACCTCCCAATGTGACATGGTGTCCTTTTTTTCCTTATTTCCAACTTTGGGATTCTTTTTTTTTTTCGGACACAAAGGCAATTTATTAACAGAAAATAATTTGAGGAGTCCTGTTCACTGACGGCAACCATGGCAACCCCCCTTTCTGCGGGTGCTGTCGGAGGGGATGGGAGTGACATCCTCAATCCATCCGATCTTCATTCCCGAGCGGGCAAGGGCTCTTAGAGCTGACTGGGCCCCTGGTCCAGGGGTCTTGGTCCTATTTCCTCCTGTGGCCCGGAGTTTGATGTGAAGAGCAGTGATGCCCAGCTCCTCGCACCTCTGGGCCACATCCTGGGCAGCCAACATGGCTGCATATGGAGAGGATTCATCTCGGTCAGCCTTCACCTTCATCCCACCAGTCACACGGCACATGGTATCCTTGCCAGAAACATCAGTGACATGTACGAAAGTGTCATTGAAGGATGCATAGATGTGGCAGACACCAAATACATTTTCTCCTTCAGCCACCTGAGGTCCGAGGCTGATGACCTGTTCTTCCTTCTTTTCCTTCCCCTTGCAAGGTGTCATTTCTGCATGTCTGTTCCAGACTCTGCCACCGGAAAGAGAGACGGGAGAGGGCGGGGCTACAGGTCACGTTAGCGTCACCGGAAGTGTACTCTGAGGTCACCGGGCGACGCCTCCGGGAAGACACCGCCTTTAGCGTTCCCAAGGAGATTAAGACTCGCCCACGAAGACGGTTTTCTTAAGGGAGTTCCAAAGGAGGTAAGGGGGTAAGGGAGGCTGGGGGAAGGTCAAGGGGAAAAAAATATATTTTTTGTCCATCTATTGAAAAGGTCAAGGGCTCGGGCCGGTCTCAGACGGCACCATGCAGCCACATCTGCGGAGAGGCAGGCCTGTGTCGGGATTCTTTCTCTTTTGACACCTCTGAAGTTGTGCCTAAAACAAAAATGACATTCTTTTTTCTTTCATACAGCACTGTTTTTATTTTTTTTTTCAATTCTTTTTGTAAATTGCTTAAAATATTACAACGAGTAGTACATCTGTTTCCTTTTTTATTCCGTTGACCTTCCCCCGGACTCCCCTACCCCCCAGTGTCTTGTGTCCATTGGTTATGCTTATATGCATGCATACGAGTCCTTCGGTTGATCTCTTATCCCCCCTCCCCCTGCCAACCCTCCCGGGCTTTCCCGCTGTAGTTTGAAAGTCTGTTCGAGGCTGCTCTGCCTCTGTATCTATTTTTGTTCATAAGTTTATAATGGTCTTTATTATCCATAAATGAGTGAGATCATGTGGTATTTTTCCTTCATTGACTGGCTTATTTCACTTAGCATAATGCTCTCCAGTTCCATCCATGCTGCTGCAAATGGTAAGAATTCCTTCTTTTTTACAGCAGCATAGTATTCCATGGGGTAGATGTACCACAGTTTTCTAATCCACTCATCTGTTGATGAGCACTTAGGCTGTTTCCAGATCTTAGCTATGGTAAATTGTGCTGCTATGAACATAGGGGTGCATATATCCTTTCTGATTGGTGTTTCTGGTTTCTTGGGATATATTCCTAGCAGTGGGATCAATGGGTCAAATGGGAGTTCCATTTTTAACTTTTTGAGGAACCTCCATACTGTCTTCCATAGTGGCTGCACCAGTCTGCATTCCCACCAGCAGTGCACAAGTGTTCCCTTTTCTCTGCATCCTCTCTAGCACTTTTCGTTTGTTGATTTGTTGATGATAGCCATTCTGACAGGTGTGAGATGGTACCTCTTTGTTGTTTTGATTTGCATCTCTGATGATTAGTGACTTAGAGCATGTTTTCATATGTCTCTTGGCTTTCTGAATGTCCTGTTTTGAAAAGTGTCTATTTAGGTCCTTTGCCCATTTTTTGATTGGATTGTTTATCTCCCTTTTGTTAAGTTGTATGAGTTCCCTATAAAAGTTGGAGATTAAACCCTTATTGGTGATAATATTGGCAAATATGTTCTCCCATGCAGTGGGCTTTCTTGTTGTTTTGTTGATGGTTTCTTTTGCTGTGTAGAAGCTTTTTATTTTGATGTAGTCCCATTTGTTTATTTTCTCTTTAGTTTCCAATGCCCTAAACAGTGGTCGGCAAACTCATTAGTCAACAGAGCCAAATATTAACAGTGCAACGATTGAAATTTCTTTTGAGAGCCAAATTTTTTAAACTTAAACTATATAGGTAGGTACATTGTTATTAACTTACTTAGGGTACTCCTAAGGCTTAGGAAGAGCCACATTCAAGGGGCCAAAGAGCTGCATGTGGCTCTCGAGCCGCAGTTTGCCGACCACGGCCCTAGGAGATGTATCAGTGAAGAAATTGCTTTGGCATATGTCTGAGATTTTGTTGCCTTTGGATTCCTCTAGTATTTTTATGGTTTCCTGTCTTACATTTAAGTCCTTTATCCATTTTGAGTTTATTTTTGTGTATGGTGTAAGTGTGTGATCTAGTTTCATTTTTTTGCATGTGTCTGACCAAATTTCCCAACACCATTTATTGAAGAGACTGTCTTGGCTCCATTGTATGTTCTTGCCTCCTTTGTCAAATATTAATTGAGCATATTGGTTCGGGTCGATTTCTGGGTTCTCTATTCTATTCCATTGATGTATATGTCTGTTCTCGTGCCAGTACCAGGCAGTTTTGAGAACAGTGGCTTTGTAATACAGCTTGATACCTGGTATTGAGATCCCACCTACTTTGTTCTTTCTCAGGATCGCTGTAGCTATTCGGGGTCTTTTTTTATTCCAGATGAATTTTTGGAGAGTTCATTCTGGGTCTGTGAAATATGTCATTGGTATTTTAATGGGAAGTGCGTTGAATTTATAGATTGCTTTGGGTAGTATGGACATTTTAATGATGTTGATGCTACCATTTCATGAACATGGTACGTTCTTCCATCTGTTTATGTCTTCCTCTATCTCTTTTTTCAATGTCCCTTAGTTTTCTGAGTAGAGGTCTTTTACCTCTTTAGTTAAGTTTATTCCTAGGTATCTTAATTTTTTTGTTGTGATGGTAAATGGGATTGCTTTTTAAGTCTCTCTTCCTGTAAGTTCACTACTGGTGTATAGAAATGCCATAGATTTCTTGGCATTAATTTTGTATCCTGCTATATTGCTAAATTCATTTATTAAGTCTAATAGTTTTTTGGTGGAATCTTTAGAGTTTTTTATGTACAATATCATGTCATCTGCGAATAAGGACAGTTTTACCTCCTCTTTTCCAATTTCGATGCCTTTTTTTTCTTCTTCTTGTCTAATCGCAATGGCTAATACTTCCAGTACTATGTCGAACAGGAGTGGTGAGAGTGGGCATTCCTGTCTTGTTCCTGTTCTTAGGCGAAATGGTTTTAGTTTTTGCCCATTGCGTATGATGTTGGCTGTGGGTTTGTCATATATGGCTTTTATTATGTTGAGGTATGATCCTTCTATTCCCACCTTGCTGAGAGTTTTTATCAAAAATGGGTGTTGGATTTTGTCAAATGCTTTTTCTGCATCAATTGATATGACTATGTGGTTTTTATCTCTCAATTTGTTTATGTGATGTATCACGTTTATTGATTTGCGGATATTGTACCATCCTTGCATCCCTGGGATAAATCCTACTTGGTCATGGTGTATGATCTTTCTGATGTACTGCTGGATCCGATTTGCGAGGATTTGATGAGGATTTTGGCATCTATGTTCATGAGGGATATTGGCCTGTAATTCTCTTTCATTGTGTTGTCTTTATCTGGTTTTGGTATTAGGGTGATGCTGGCTTCATAGTATGAGCTTGGAAGTGTTCCTTCCTCTTGAATTTTTTGTAGTAGTCTGAGGAGGATAGGTTTTAGTTCTTCCCTGAATGTTTGGTAATACTCCCCTGTGAAGCCGTCTGGTCCCGGGCTTTTGTTTGCTGGAAGCTTTTTGATGACTGCTTCAATTTCTTCCATAGTTATTGGCCTATTGAGATTTTTAGATTCTTCCTGATTGAGTTTTGGAAGGTTGTATTTTTCTAGGAAATATGTCCATTTCCTCCAGGTTGTCTAGTTTGTTGGAGTAAAGTTGTTCATAGTATTTTCTAACAATCCTTTGTATTTCTGTGGGGTCTGTTGTTATTTCTCCTCTTTCATTTCGGATTTTGTTTATTTGGGTCCTCTCTGTTTCTTGGTGAGCCGGGCTAGAGGTTCATCAATCTTTTTTTTTATTGCTTAAAGTATTACAAAGGGTATTACATATGTGTCCTTTTTTTTTTCTTCCCCACCCTTGACAATCCCCTGGTCCCCCCTAGCCTCCAGTGTCTTATATCCATTGGTTATGCTTATATGCATGCATACAGGTCCTTCGGTTGATCTCTTACCCCCCTCCCTCCTGCCCCCCAAACCTCCCTGGCCTTCCTGCTGCAGTTTTACAATCAGTTTGAGGCAGCTCTGCCTCTGTATCTATTATTGTTCATAAGTTTATAATGGTCTTTATTATCCATGAATGAGTGAGATCATGTGGTATTTTTCCTTCACTGACTGGCTTATTTCACTTAGCATAATGCTCTCCGGTTCCATCCATGCCGTCGCAAATGTTAAGAGTCCCTTCTTTTTTACAGCAGCATAGTATTCCATCCTGTAGATGTACCACTGTTTTCTAATCCACTCATTTACAGATGGGCACTTAGGCTGTTTCCAGATCTTAGCTATGGTGAATTGTACTGCTATGAACATATGGGTGCACATATCCTTTCTGATTGGTGTTTCTGGTTTCTTGGGATATATTCCTAGAAGTGGGATCACAGGGTCAAATGGGAGTTCCATTTTTAATTTTTTGAGGAAACTCCATACTGTCTTCCAGAGTGGCTGCACCAGTCTGCATTCCCACCAGCAGTGCACGAGTGTTCCTTTTTCTCCACATCCTCTCCAGCACTTGTCGTTTGTTGATGATAGCCATTCTGACAGGTGTGAGATGGTACCTCATTGTTGTTTTGATTTGCATCTCTCGGATGATTAGTGACTTTGAGCATGTTTTCATATATCTCTCAGCCTTCTGAATGTCCTCTTTTGAAAAGTGTCTATTTAGATCCTTTGCCCATTTTTTGATTGGATTGTTTATCTTCTTTTTGTTAAGTTGTATGAGTTCCCTATAAATTTTGGAGATTAGGCCCGTATCAGATATGACGTTGGCAAATATGTCTTCCCACGCAGGGGTTTTCTTGTTGTTTTGTTGATGGTTTCTTTTGCTGTGCAGAAGCTTTTTATTTTGATGTAGTCCCATTTGTTCATTTTCTCTTTAGTTTCAACTGCCCTAGGAGCTGTATCAGTGAAGAAATTGCTTCGGCTTATGTCTGATATTTTGTTGCCTTTGGATTCTTCTAGAATTTTTATGGTTTCCCGCCGTACATTTAAGTCCTTTATCCATTTTGAGTTTATTCTTGTGTATGGTGTAAGTTGGTGGTCTAGTTTCATTTTCTTGCATATATCTGTCCAATTTTCCCAACACCATTTATTGAAGAGACTATCTTGGCTCCATTGTATGTTCTTGCCTCCTTTGTCAAATATTAATTGAGCATATTGGTTCGGGCTGATTTCTGGGCTCTC